TATTTCCTTGTGTAGAATCTTACATACAGTAGGTAGTGAATGTATAATGATTTTTATAATGGTCTCAAAAGGTAATAGAGAAATCAAGTTAGAAAGGCAAGTTCATGTAACATTAGGGTGTGTATAGGAGGCTGAGTCTATTCTTAAGCTGTGAAATGCCCTTAAAGCATATTTATAGGGAGCGACATAATCAGAGTGGTAGGAAAGTTAATTGGGTAACCTACTGATATATGTATGACCTGTATTCCCACCTAAATGAAAATGTTCATGCCATGTTGCAGAATCACCTAATTGCAAAATGTAATACTTATTTCATTGGGCCCCAGCAGCAGTAGGCAGTATTTACCAGTTGTCTTCAAATGCCATATTTCATTGACTTCTGCATTCTCATCTTCTTCCAGACTCCTTTGACCTCTCTGATTGCAATTTCTCCATTTCCTGAGTCATTTTCCATGTCCCAACACTCACGGCTGGGACTTCCTAAGGTTTTGTCTTTGGCTCTCTTTCTCGCCATTCGATTCCTGCTTCACAGGCCATCAAAAGCACTCAACTTACCTGCCAGCGATACCCAATTCTCAATTTCCAGCCCCTTATACTATGTACCTATTCTAGTGCTATTGAACTGTTTGCAGTGCCCACAAAGTCTTATTTTTCTCAAACCTTTATCACTAAGAACTTCCAGGAATGTCAACCTACCTGCCAGTTACCTGGCAAACTCTCCCACATCACTCAAGGTCCAGATTGCTCACCTCATCTTCAGTTATGCCCTTCTTAGTGCTTCCAGGAGAGATGGTGCAAATACAGGAGATTGTATGAATATAGAATCACGCATTGTTATACCTATTACCATATCTACTGATCACTTATACAGTATCTGCCTCAGAGTTTCTATAGCACAGGGCTCTGTTAATTTCTTTTCCTATTAGCATGGGAGCAAGAGAATAGGATTCAGCTTTACCCATCACTTTAGAATGAGCAATAGTGCATAAGGATAGAAGGTATAGGTACTCAAGATATGGTGGTGAGTAAGTCTTGGAAAGGAGTTCATGCTACCAAAATCTCATACAACTGTACTATCACAATGAAATGAATTCAGTGACATTCATTTTAGCCTTGCTCATTTTTGTACAGAATCAAGATGTGCACAAAGGTGACCATGGACCATTTCTTGACAGCTCACCACGAGATGGGACATATCCAATACGACATGGCATATTCCACACAACCTTTCCTGCTAAGAAATGGAGCCAATGAAGGTTTCCATGAAGCTGTTGGGGAAATCATGTCACTTTCTGCAGCTACCCCTAAACATCTGAAGTCCATTGGACTTCTGCCACCGAATTTTCATGAAGACAATGGTACATCTATTTTTTCATGACTTGTTTTGGGTATTTATTAATATGGTGTGGGACAAAGTATATATTAGTAGGTGTAGGAAATATTTACTTTTCTCCACATAAGGTATAAGATATTTATGAATAACTAGGAATTGCTAGTGGTAAAAAAATGCTTTGAAAGTATATGTCAGAACATGCCAGTTTGTGATTTTGTACTTTTGAACAAGCAGTAAGAGAAGGAACTAAATGAATGCTCTTGAGACTCTAATAAATATAAAATAGAAGCTTGATTGATTATTTTGAAGATGCTGAAACAGTCCTACAGTGCTGAAATGTCTTGTCCAAGATCATCCAGCTGGTTTATATCAGACTTCTCAATAGATATTTCTGGTTCTAGATAAAAACTCCCCCAAATATTAGAGCTAGCACAGATTCTAAGCAATGTTTTACAAAGGAGTAAACAAGAAAAGTAATACAGAGTATACCAGAAAGCAACATAAGGAAGGTCAGGATGGGAGAGGGGTGTAAAACTGCTCAAGATGGGATTCATATATGTATCAATTCCCCCAAAAAGGAATGTAATTATTATGTATAGCAAAAACACACTAATTAAAAAGTAACACAGTGGCAGACCCAGAAGCCTTAATCTAAAGCCTTTCCCATAGTGTTATGAAAAGCAAAGTACAACTTGAAATTTGGGAGTTCTTGAAGAATAGATGGATATCAAAATCAGAAGGGACTGAGATATTTATTTCAACTAGTGGAAGCACACATTTCCTGGGTAGCATCCCTTCACACCCCTGTTACCTTTCGACTTCTTTGCCCAAGGCAGCCCATTTCTTCTTGGAAGGCTTGGATTTGCTGAAACATGACGAATGTTTAGGAGATCCAGACTCTTCAGTGAAGAAGTCATGATTTTAACTTTTTCCTTGTAACAGAAGGACGATTAGACCCTAATACTGTCTCCTCTTCCACATACATCGCTGCCTTTATTTTAGCTATTTGCAATGTAATGATCAGTTCCACTGGCTGGAGCATCTGGTAACCATGAGTTCAAGGTCATCAACTTCATCTTTGTGTGGGCCATTCATTTTGCCTCCATCTCTGGCTCCAGACTCTTGGTGATCTCACGATGGCCTGGGAGTAGGCCAGCGTAAAGCCATCAGCAACCCTGAAATAGTTATTGTAAGCACAGATCCAGTGGATTGTACATTAGTAGTGATGTCCTCCCAGGAAGACAGCAACAAAGGAAAGGGAGTTCCTACTTCCTACTTTTAATATATCATTCATTGAAGCTAGAACATTTATTTGTTTCATCATTATTAATATTGCTTGGTAGCCAGCAAAGACGATGGATTCACTGTATTTAAGACAATATTAGATACAGTTAAACCACTGGTTTGAAAAATTCTTGCTCCTTTCACTGTCGCTGATTCATGAATGATGTTAAACAAATAGATTCCTTCCTTTCTTCCTCCCTCCCTCCCTCTCTTCCTTCCCTCCATCCTTTTTCCCTCTCTTTTTCTACACATATTTATTGAGCACAGACCTCGGACAAGACATTTCCACAGACATTAGAGATGCAGTGATGTGCAGAGTGGATAGCATTCTCCTGTTGACATTTCAGGGAGCTTCCTTTGTACACCAGAGGTGAAATCTGCTCCCTTTTTATGTCACTAATAAAGGATAAAATGAAATTACATGACTTGTGAAAGCACTTAAAATTCACAGCAAGGGAGATATCAATGCAGTTAAAGTACATTTCACTTTTGGTTATCCACTGGATGGTGCCCTCTATGGTTGGCTCTTTTATTTATTTATATTTTCTGTTAAATTTATTTTTAGCTGGCATATAAAAGTACAAAACTGTATGCATTAATGGGCCACATATGCTGTTTCAATACACATATGCGCTATGTAATGTTTCAATCAGAGTAAACACATCTCTTCAAACTTTTATCATTTCTTTATGATGAAACCTTTCAAATTATTTTCTTCCAGCTTTTTATTTTTTCAGTCCTAAGTATGGAACCCCTTAGCACATGCATGCTAGGCCAGTGCTCTATCCCTGGCACCCTTAGCCATCTTCTAGCTTTTTGAAATTGTCAATACATGCTGCTATCTATAGTCAACCTACTGTGCAATTGCACCATAGTTTTAATTTCTCCCCTTCCCATTTTACCAGCTTTTCAACACATCTGTTTTATATTTGCTTATTTATCAAGGACTCACAAAAGGCATTATGTAGCAGACACTGGGCAGAGTGGACAGTTTAGAATGACACATTTGCAGTCACTGCCTTCATGGAGATTTCAAGAATAAACAGTATGCCTGGAAAAGAGATGACACAGTCCCATTTAACTCTGATAAGGGATGTTTAAGCAAAGCAATTGAAACCAACAAAAAGTAGGATTAGGGTTAACTTGCAGGATTGTTTTGTTGCAGGACTTCTCTCTATTCCAAATCTCTTACTGAGAAAATGTGTGTGTGTATAGACACATTAACATGTCCATTGTCAATATTTTTCATGTAACCATCCTTACAGTAAGTACATCTTGAGACTATGAAAGTTACTTTTAACATAAAACATCTGTCATGTTTATCTTACTATTTGTCCTTTTACCATTTTGCTTTCAGAAACAGAAATAAACTTCCTACTCAAACAAGCACTCACGATTGTTGGAACTCTGCCCTTCACTTACATGTTAGAGAAGTGGAGGTGGATGGTCTTCAGGGGTGAAATTCCCAAAGATCAGTGGATGAAAAAATGGTGGGAGATGAAGTAAGTCAATGAAAATGCAACTGGTAAAATATTTTCTCATGAATTTGCTGTTTGTTTAAAAGCATTTGACTGGTCTGTACACACACACAGACTTACAAGCACACAGACTCACACACACACACACACACACACACACACATGAATGCACGCACTTAACTGCCTCCTTTCAATATTTTTAGTTTTCATTTGGGTGCCATCTCTACAAATAAAACTTCTTTTGTGTTGCCCCTTATCTTGAGTCAGGTGACACTATTTCATGCTCTATCACAGGTGTTGAGTCCCTTATTAAACTATAATATTATCCAGGAGATGATCAGTTTACTCACTTTTTTTGTATTCTTTAAGTAAAAATGATGATCTCCCATTTTGTGCAAAGAACTGGGGATCCAATGCTAATCATTTCAGGTGTGATCCTTGATTCCTCCAAACTTTTAGTCAAAGAAAAGGCAGGATGGTGAAGATAAAAACCACTGCAGTGTGTGATGTGAAGGAAGGCTACAGGGGTCAGTGAGTGTCTAAGGGGAGATCCAAAGCCCAGCTTTCAGGGTCTAATGAAAAGAGGCTTCCAAACTGAGTCCCGAGAAAGGTATGGAAATTAACCAGGTGTGTATAGAGGGGAAGAGAGACTTGCCAGAAACTGGCACATTTAAGTGGCAGACAGTGACTCACTGGTATAGTTGTAGAGCTACATTGCTCATCACTGTATCCCAGGTTCCCCACCACCATGTCAAGGAGCACATACAGGTGGGAAATAAATCGGATTTGGATGAATAATGAAAAGGGGGGATATTTTCTCCACCACATATTCTTCAGTCTATTATTTTTTGTTTTTCTTTTTTTTCCTTTTTGAAGTGATGATCTCATGTGTAACATTCGATCCCATATCTCCAAATTTAAATCAGCACCACTCCTCTAAGATATTTTTGTGTTAACATAAATCTTACTTGGGAAGAAGGAGGACCTGTAATATGTCTGTTTCCAGAGTTCAAATATTGCTGAAGTTGCTTATACCAATCCCACAATGATAAAGGACAAATATATTTCTTTTAAGCAGTGCCAAATATTTGCCTCTGCCTTTTTTCTGGATGACTAGTTTTTGGATCTTTCTTAGTTTATTTTCAAGGTATTTGAGTCAGACATGGAAAGTAACTCATTCATGCATGAATGTTTCCTTTAGTCATTCAACAAATCGAAATGAAATCTTCCCTTAATGTTAGGCCCCATGTTTACTATGGAAACTAAAGGCGTTGAAAACACAACCTCACACTCTAGGAGCTGAAGTTCTCTGAGGCAAAAAGGAGTTGTATGTGAATAGGTACAACTAGGGGAGTCACTGCTAGAAAAAGCAAAGGGAGGTTGAGGGTCAACCATGCTAGAAGGTGGGTGACACCAGGGGCAAGCTTGAAGAGGAGGGGATGTTTGAGCTAACTTTAAAGAATAAGTAAGTTTACAGTTTTACAAAATTAAATCTTCCAGGAGCACATGAAGTATGGTGCCTGAGAGGGAATTACAAGGGCTTTCACTGTACATGTTTGACCACACAGTATACTTCATGAATTTTATTAAATAATTTTTTAAAGGCATATATGTTTTTAATGATATATTTTGGTCAAAGTAAAACAATAAGACATAACCCCACAAAGGTGTGCTTTTTGATTTGTTACCGTTCTTATTTCATTTGACAACCAGTTCCAACATACATACTATTGCTTGGTGAAACTGCACTAGTTGTACACAATTCTACCTTCTTGTGATGGTTGATCTGCAACTAACACATCTTTCTCTTTCCAAAGACGAGAGATAGTTGGTGTGGTGGAGCCGATGCCTCACGATGAGACATACTGTGATCCCGCATCTCTGTTCCATGTTTCTAATGATTACTCATTCATCCGGTAAATGACAGTTTTTCTTCCCTCTGTTTAACTTGTACGGTTTGTGGACAGCTGTGCTAATAGTGAAGAAATAAGGCTCAATGAAGTAATAATTACAATTTTGTAATCTCTCACTTCCTACGCCAAATTCAGTATAGATGATCAATTACAATTCAGTTTAACCAAACACTCAATTGGGTAAAACCCCAGCGAGCGCTTTCTCCATCATTAAGAAATCAATAGTATCATCAGGAGAAACAAAACGTATTTTTGTTTGTCTTCTTGTTACTGCCAGATTTCACCATGTATTTGATGAGTATTTTTAAGTTGACGTTTAAAAAAATTATGTTCTTCACCTATTAGCCCACCATCTTGAATTTGTTGGGCCTCAGTTTCTCTATTGGTAAAATGGAAATAATATTATCAAGCTGCCATATAAACTGATTGACAACATTTATATGAAAGGGCTATAAATCTATAAAACAATACAAAGGTGAGATAACATATAACATAGTAACAATGCTGCCTTGTTTATCAGTTGGTGCATAGAATGCAAGTAGATTGTGATGAGTCTATAGAATTCATGATTGGGTCTTTCTGGAAAGAGATTTGACTATATTTCTTAAATATTTGCCCCAGTCTATGATTCTACCACAGTAACTAAATATGGGGCTACTTTTTCATTTCTTTGTCTTTTGTACAGGTATTACACAAGGACCATCTACCAATTCCAGTTTCAGGAAGCCCTTTGTCAAGCAGCTAAGCATGTAGGCCCCCTGCACAAATGTGATATCTCAAATTCCACTGAAGCTGGGCAGAAGTTGCTGTAAGAGATGCCTTCAAATGTTGATCTTTCCCTAGTATCCAATATTACTTATTTCATGCCTAGTTTGAATTTGATTTATTTTGGGGGCTTCACAAATTTCCTCATCCACGAAGTAAATATTTAATTTGTGGTCAGACAAAAACCTAGACAGTGAGATGGCTGGGTGGGCCACCTCTCTCTCAGTGTCATAACCACAGAGCTAGCTTTGTAGTAATTAGAAGGTGAAGTTGAAGGAGTCATTGATATATCCCATTTTCACATCCGCCAGGAGCAAATTTAGCCAAGTCAAGGAAAGTGAAGTACAGATCACAGACATAAATATATGTATACCTGGACTCTCGTAAAGGGCCTCCTGCTCCTTTGTTTTCTTCATGTAGCAATATGCTGAGACTTGGAAAATCAGAACCCTGGACCTTAGCATTGGAAAATGTTGTAGGAGCAAAGAATATGGATGTAAGACCACTGCTTAACTACTTTGAGCCCTTGTTTACCTGGCTGAAAGACCAGAATAAAAATTCTTTTGTGGGGTGGAGCACCGAGTGGAGTCCATGTGAGTATGCAGAGTCCACGTTTTCCATCACTCTCTGTCTTCTTTCCCTAGTCTTAGCAGGGGCCTGGGACCCGGGCGAGTGTATGTTCCCTTTATGTACAACCTGTTTCTGACTCCACACTCTCTCCGGTGTTTTATTAGTCTCATGTTTAACATAAAAGAGTGTAACAGCCTCTAGTCCACTATACTTGAATCTTGCTCATCAAAGACAAATACTTAATGAAAATGTAAGGCTATTATCTCTTCTTTTGAAGTTACCTTTAGATTTCTAAATATTGTGCTTATATCGCCATTTTGCTATCGATCAATTTTAGACTTTTGTACTTTTGTCTATTCTTCTCTCTCCCAGTAAAGTCTTATCATGATTTTTAGTAAGTTATCAGTGTTTACATCACTTTGCTTGCAGGGTCAAGCCATGTACTATTTTGTATCCTTTCTTATGAACTTGCTTTCCCAGTGTTTCTACTTGCCTCAATATTTTGTTCATATCCAATTTGCTGTCTATTTGCATTTATTTTTTCCTAATGATTCCAACATATCCTTTTCAGTCTTATTTTTTCCCAGAAACTTCCCTCTTGGACTCTTACACCCTTCTGTCCCAATTTGGATCGTGATTTTCCTCCTGAGCTATGTCTTTGTTCTCCTCCTGGGCTGAATTCACTCTTTGCAGGATTCCAGGTCTTCTTCCTTGGATTATCTCTTGTTTCCTGGAACACAGTCTCCAAATGACTGCCCATAGGTCCATCGGGTAGGAGGATCAACTGTTCCCCAGAGATGCTCTCACCACATCTTGTTGTTCCTTCCCCTGTTTTCACCCCCAGTAACTTCTTCCCACCCTTAGCATTACTTGAATCCTAAGCTTCTGTGGGATTCTCTGCTTCTTTTTGGGTCTGTCTGAATTCCCTCAGACCAAGGTCTCCTGTCCCCTCCAAAAGCAGTTACCCCTCTCTTATCATATTTTGTTTTCCAAAGGTATGTTTATTATACCTTTTCAAAATTCCTTTACTATCACTTTAGTGGGGAGGGGAAGGAAATAAACACATATGGTCCTTCTAACCTCTGAAATGAACAGTGGGTGATTTCTCTCTAATCAGATTCTCAAGAAAGCATCAAGGTGAGGATAAGCCTAAAATCAGCTCTTGGAGTTAATGCAGTAAGTATCCTGCATGGAGCACACATTATTTCCTGGTCTACTCTCCTCTCTTAAGTAGGACACAATACACCCATTCCAGTGTGATCTGTCTAAAACAAGAGAGGCCACGTGGTTCTCTTCAAAACTCTAAGCCCCAGATTCAGGCTTTCAGCATTTTCATTTTTTAGTAGCCCATTCCTTATTGGATAGGCAATGCCTATTTTTTTAACTGCTTACTTTGAAGGGATTATGCAGGTCAGTACGAACACTGTACCAATCCTTAAAAATCAAATATGCAATCTTCCAATTCTCTCATCACCGTTACTTATAGCCAAGAAGAAGGACATGCTATTTTGAGAGGTTGTTTGTTTTTAGAAGCAGTATGTGTAGGAGTCATTTGTTTATTTTAGTAGATCTGCTATATCCTGGCTTTATTCAGAGTGTGGCCCATGGACCAGCAGCATTCAAACCCCTGACTCACAGATGCCACATTAGGGGAATAAATTGTTTTATCGAAGAATCTTATTACTTACAACTTTATGTGAATTAATTTAATCAGTGATTGCTCTCTCGACCCTCTGTCTCAGGTGATCCAGTCTGAAGAAGTATAGTAGCAGCTTTGATTGGAAAAGGGAGAGGACAGATAGTCCGAGGCAAATAGAGATGAAAGGCCTGAGTGGGGTGCGGTAAACCCCAAGCCTTTGCAGGTTTAGAAGTTAGGCTGATACCATCAGATAAAACAGTCCAAGGGGCAACAGAAAACTGTTGCCTCATTGTATAGATCCAATGACTGTGTTCTACCCCCTTACTTTTCCTCAGAAGTTCAATATTGTTCAAGATTTAAAAGAAAATCCTTTTAGTATAGTTTTTGTAGATAAGCAAGACATCAAAATATAAATGGCACAGGAGTGAGAAAATGAAAAGATAGTCACAGATCAAGATCCTTCCTGATTATCTTTTTTTCCCTTGACATTTGTGCTTAGGTTCTCTTTTCATGCAGCGAGGGATTGGTTAATAGTCTTCAGAGGGCTTGATGGTGGAACTGTCTAAGGCTGATTCACTGAGCAGCACTCTGCTTTGATAAGACCAGAACTGGGCTTTTAGCGCTTGTTCTCACTGGGGCCAGAATATCTGCTCAGTTCAAGCTACTTCATGGTGAACATCAACTGGATATATGGCATTGCTTTGAGAACTCAGCCTTTAAAAAGTTTTAAAACCTTTAAATAGTAAAAAGAATTATTAGTAACAATATTAATGATATTATTATTACTATGGAGGTTAACTTCCTTTTCCCCAAACCTGAGTAAAACCAAGCTGAGGCGAGTACAACAATTCTTTTGTGAAATCCCATTGCACACTTTTATTTTTTTTGCTGAAAGGAAAGGGAGAAACAAATCAGGTTCCATTCATTGATCTCTACTGCCATCTGCTGGATAAAAGAGTGATGCTTTTCCACTCAATGCAATATAAGTAGATATTAATAAAGAGATATAAAACAATTCTATGAAAAAATAATTAGAGAATAACACTGGTGAGTACACTGTGTATCATGATCTTAAAAGAATATATTTTCATTTTCAAATCTCTTAGCTCATTTCCTAACAATACTATACCTTTTTTGCTTAAAACATTTTAATTATTAACAAAGATTCTCAACTTGGTATAATTTAGATCAATCTTCCCATTTCACAATAGTCTTTCAAAAGCTATGCAAAGATGCAAGCCATTTGTTTAGGACTAGAGAACAAGAATGGATTATTGTGTTGTCTACAGTGTGTTATTTTTCTTTGACTCTCAAATGTTTTCTTTTTTACACTTACATATGTATCTGAGAACTTCCTATTAAAGTAAAATTTTGTCCACACAGTACAGCCAGTTTAAGCAAAACCAACGTTGGGCTGACTACCATCTGTAAACCTCACCAGAGGGTGCTTATGACAATTTAGATCAAACTAAAGTAAAAGGACTAGCAAGCCCAATGGGCCATTAACAATAATGTTTGACGAATACCAAGTATTAAATCTTACAATCCCTACTGAAAAATGTCTTTCTTCTGAATTTGCAGTACCAATGGAATTCTAATGAAATGTACCTGTTCCAGTCATCGGTTGCGTATGCCATGAGACAGTATTTTTTAAAAGTAAAAAACAAGACAGTTCCTTTTAGGTGAGTTCATTTTCTAGGTTCTCAAGATCTCCAATAAGCAATTCCTTTCCTTTAGAGTTTGAGGAGATATTCTGCTTACGATTTCTTCAAGTGAAATTATGAAAAGCCTCCTAACAACTTTTGAACTTCTTTGGCATCCTGGAGTTCGCATCACTCCACTTAGGGAAGGTTGTGGTTTATTTGATTTGTAGATGGCAAGAACACTGTTCTAATTATCAGCTCTCTCTTCTTTAAATGCCTTTGCCCATCTGAGCACTGAAAGACAAGGAAACAGAAATGTCTGCCTTCACTGGGCTTATATTTTGGTGTGTGTGTATGGTGGAGTTCAATTTTAACTAAAATGGTCAGTAAAGATCTCACTAAGCAGATATGTGAAGCAGGATCACTCTGACAGTTATGACAGTACAATCTTGTCACTTTGTATATTAGCAGCTACTTTAAGAAAATCTTCACTCCTGGATGAAACACATTTTTTTGCTGGATGGGGCCTGATAGGGAGTGTAAACACACCATCTCTGTCTGTCGTACTGGGCAATTCTGCCCATGGTATTTGTATTGGTCACCCTCCCATTGCTGGAATAAAATACCTGACACAAACAACTTCAAGGAGGAAAGGTTTATTCTGGCTCATGGTTTCAGAGGTTTCACCCCATGATTGGCTGGCTTCAAGACAGAGACATTATAGAAGAAGGGCCTGGTGGAGGAAAACCGCTCACCTCAGGGCAGCCAGAGAGCAGGAGCCAGAGAGAAGTGCAGGACCAGATATACACCCTTCAAAGGCATGGCCCCAGTGACTGACTTCCTCCAATTGGGCCCTACTTCCTGATAGCCCATTCAGCTCTGAACTCATCAATCATGAGGTCAGCACCTCCACGGTCCAATCACCTTCCAGAAGCGCCAACTCTGAACATGTGAGACTTCTGGAGGATGTTTTAGATTTAAAGCATAACAAAGCTCATCACAATCCTGGCTCACCAATGATTCCCTTGCTGATTCTCTTGATCCTGGGAGTTTTTTTTCTATCATTGAAAAAAATGTGCGTTTTACATCATAATTGAACAGATAGTGTTAAAACTTGATATCAAAATTTTACATAATTTCGTGTGCTTTAGGCAGTGTTGATTTTTTTGACCGTTTTATCCCCTCATTTTTTGCCCTGCTCTATGTCTCTCTGTCCCGTGATCACCTCCTAATCTCCCTTTTTTTTTGTTTGGTACTGGATATCAAACTCCGGACCTTGCGCTTGTGAGACAGGTGGCAGAACCACTGAGCTAAATCCCTGGGGCCCCTGATCTCCATTTTGCCAGCAGGGGAAGCCTCATGGCTTCAGAGGTTTCAGCCTCTTATCGTGTCCTAGGTGCCACAAGGAATGATGTTTCTTTTGTTTCTCCTTAGGGAGGAGGATGTACGGGTGAGTGACGAGACACCAAGAATCTCTTTCATCTTCATTGTCACTGCACCGAATAATATAACTGACATCATTCCTAGGAGTGAAGTTGAGTATGCTATCAGGTAACATTTTACTTTCAAACTATGTGAAGGTGAAGGGGTAACCAATAGCTAATATTTAGTGTGCTTTTTCTGTGTGGCATGCATCGTTCTGAGTCATTTGCATGTCTTACTTTGTCCCACAAATTTGAGTTTTAATCTGGAGGAATCCAATAGGAAGAGAATCATTTGGCTCTGGGTTCTGCCAGTTGCAGGCCTTTAGCCAAGAATTTGAGTAGTTTATTTTGGAGGCACTGGAAGGAAAATGTGGACAGGAATGAGAAGGGAAGGAAGACAATAGATTATACCTTATCAAGTGAGTTACCACTGTTGGCAACTAGAGCTCAGTCCTGTAGAATGTGCACCGTCCGAAGGCTGAGGAAATTGGGATATTTATTCATCACCTCTCATCAGCCATTAGTTGGAAACTGCTTCTAGGTGACATTAATTCCCAGAATTTCTGCCCTGCAGGCAGGGCATATCTTGTGGTCTGACAATGCTTTCAGGCAAGAAGTAGGTGTTGGTTAAAGGCAACCTGGCTAGCATGCATGACCCACGGAAAGTGCAGAGGAGACACGGGCAGATGTTGCCATCATTTGCTACAAGGACAGTGATGTAGGGTTCATTTAACCGCCCAAAGCCTGAAACAAGGCAGGCAATAGGATTCCGTAGACAGCGAGTGGCTTCCATATTGGGTGATGGTATTACTATGGGCAGTGAGCTTTTTAGAAGAAACAATTTAATTTGCTCTGGCTTTTTCCCACAAGACAGCAGGAATGGAGAGAAGATAGACTTTGTAGGTGGTAACCCTTGTGGAAAAAAAAAAAAAAAGTCTTGATATACTCCTGCTACTGGGCATTCACTAGATGGCCCTCTCGAGCTGCATCAGAAGTCCTGTTTACCTTTGAAAGCAGATCTGAGATCTGCTGGCAGGGTGTGTCTAGAAAATCTGGCTTGCTTGGGGAGCAAGACCCATCCACGCCCAGAGACCTGCTCACTACCTCCAAAAGATTTGTATTTGTCTTAGGGAAAAAATGCGGGCTGAGATCATGAAAAAGCCTCACCTTCCCGGATATTCAGCTGCAAGCTATAAGGGAATCTCAAACTTTCTGTTTCCAGTATGGCTTTACAAACGATCTCCTGAGGTTGTCAGTGGGTGCAGGATTAATTCTGCTTTCACCTCCTGCCTCCGGACCTGGGCTATTCCCAAGGATAGCAGGATGCCATACCAGACACTTTGGTCTTCAATTCAGAATATTCGCCATTTCACTGTTTTTGTTTTAAATAACCTTCATTCTTTCTCTTCCGTGAAGTTTAGAATGCTGGAGAAATGGCAAAGTTTCCTTTCCTGTGTTACTCCCAATGCCTCTGCCAAATACCAACCATTTTATTTGGAAATTTTTCCTACAGAGGCAGGGGTAGGGTGTGAGTCATTTATAGAAGAGGGATATCTAATTATCCTTTTCCATTATTTTATATAAAGTGATTATAGATACAGGCTGACAAATGGGAAATCACCAAATAGGCAAACTTGGCCTTTAAAACACAGCAGTCGCAAATGAACAAACACCAATCATTGGCATATTTCCACATTTGCAACTAAATTTTCCAATCAAGCTGTTGACAAATCCAATTTATCTTGCAAGGTACAAAAGGTACATAATTGTCAGAAATTCCTATCATTATTTGGATCTGATTATCTACTGATTTCATTTTAGGGGATACATTCTTATGAGAAACCTTATCAAATTCTTTTGCAAAGATATAAGAAGTAAATAACTACACACAATTGTATTTTGCCTTAAATATCCTCTTTACTGCATTTTGCTTTTGAGAATAGGATGTCCCGGGGTCGTATTAATGACATCTTTAGCCTGGATGATAACAGTCTGGAGTTTCTGGGGATTCAGCCAACACTTGGACCTCCTTACCAACCGCCTGTCACCATATGGCTGATTGTTTTTGGAGTTGTCATGGGATTGGTATTGGTTGGCATTGTCATCCTAATCTTCACTGGGATCAGAGATCGGAGGAAGTAAGTGCCCTTTCCTAGATTTACCTATTTTAAAACAAAGATTTAGGTGGTATTAATTGGAAAATTTGTAATAAATGTCAGGTTAGATAGGCCAATGAGTTGGACGAGTTTTCACCTTAAAATATTCTGATGCATTCCCTAGAAATTTACCAGATGATCTCAGCACTTTACATTTCTAGCAAGTGCACACAGTAGGTATCTAGCCCAGGGTTTATTAGTGCTCTAGGAAACTCCATCCCTGCCACAGGGTCATTTCCCTGCTGCAGAGACACTGCAAGCTCAGCTGGGGTGGATGGGTTTGGAGAATTGTCCTTGATGCTGAGTGTCCCTTAGTCTAGAAGTGACCCCAGAGACTGGGTTGGTGATGGGTTTAAACTGTCAAGTCATTCAAGAATGAGCTCTGAGGTTTGCTTCAGACTGTTGGGCAGCTCAAACTCCATGTCAAATTAGTTCATGGTCAGGTAACCTCTAATTTGTTCTTGAGTTCAAGATTGAAGTTCATTGAAATCTCATTTCTGGTCTTGCTTTGCCATTAGATTGTTTTCTGCCTTTGAGAAAGAACTGACCTTTGTTGAGCTTATGAAATAGGTTAGTAACGTTTTATAGCACCTAAAAAATTATCCACACTGCAGGATATTTAAAGATATTCTTGAGTGAATTTCTACCATTTGCTAAATTTTATCAATTGTAGAGATTTTTAGTTCCTCCAAGTAGCTTCATTTAAAAAGGTAGAAATGGACTGGGTAATATAGTTGAATAGTTAACATTTTTTAAAAATGCAAAAGGACACATAAAGAGTCTGTGTTATCCTTTGCCTTCAAGTGTCTTTACTAAAGCCAATCAAAATTATCAATTTCTATGGCCAGACTCCCAAAATTGTTATACAGATTTAATGCAATCCCAAACAAAATATCATTAGCATACCTCAAAGAACTAAAGAAAACATTTCTAGAATTAATTTGGAACCAGAAGAAACCTGGAATAGCAAAAACAATTGTGAGCAACCAAGGCAAGGCAGGGGACATCACAATCCCCGATTTGAAATTATACTACAGAGCAACTGTGATAAAACAGTATATACTGACAAAGCAAACAAACAAACAAACAAACAATCCCCCCAACCAGACCTGAGGATCAATGAAACAGAGTAGAAGAGGTAGAAACAACACCAAACATATTCAGTCACCTTATTTGTGATAAAGGGGCCAAACACGCTTACTGGAGGGAAGACAGCCTCTTTAATAAATGCTGCTAGAAAAACTGGCTTTCTACATACTGAAGATTAAAACTAGACCCTGTCTCTCACCATGCGCTAAACTAAAATTAAAATGGATCAAAGTTCTAAATATTACAACAAACACTGAATCTGCTGGAAGGGACAATAGGGACAACTCTTGAGGACACAGGGGTAGGCAAAGACTTCATGAACAAAACACAGACTGCATGGAAAATAGTGCAAGGAAGCAACAACTGGGATCTCATCCTGTTTAAAACTTTTTGCACCACAAAAGAAATCACCAACAGAGTGAAGAGACAACCGACAGTGTGGGAAAAAATTTTAACCAGTAGTCCCTCAGATAAAGGACCAATATCTAGAACATACAAAAAAAGACTCCCTAAATTTAAAGACCCAATCCAAAAATGGGCATCTGAAACGAATAGACACTTCTTAGATGAAAAAGTAGAAACAGCAAATAAATATGTAAAAAATGTTCAACATCACTGGTCATTTGTGAGATGCAAATTGAAACAACGCTGAGGTTCCTCCTCACTCCAGAAAGAATGGCTGCTATCAAGAAATCAACCAACAACAACAAATGCTAGTGGGCTTGTGGGGAAAAAGGAACCCTCTTTCACTGTTGATGGGAGTGCAGACTGGTGCAGCCATTGTGGAAATCAGTATGGAGATGACCTCAAAAAACTAGGATTAGAGGCTCCTTTGACCCAGCTATTCCTTCCTGGGTATCTTCACGATGGGATTAAGAGCATCATACCACAGCAATATATGTACACCCATGTTTATAGCAACATAGTTTGCAAAAGCTAAATCTTAGAAAAAACCCAAATGCCCATCAACCAATGAATGGGTAAAAAGATGCATTTTTTAATACAGTGGAGTACTACTCAGCCATAAAGAAAGATAAATTTGAGACATTTATAGCTAGATGGATGCAACTTGAGGTTATATTCTTAAGTGAAATAAATTGGACACACGTGTAATTATCACATTGTTTCTCTGGTGTGAGAAGCTGAAAGGGTAAATATGGACCAAAATGTATACCAGATAATATGAAATAGGAAGAAACTATTCAAAAGGAAAGGGAAACTGTGAAGGGGAGATGGGAAGAAAGAAAGAAAAAGAAAAAAATGAGAAAAGAAGGAAGAAATGGAAACATAGCTTTTGTAAATAAAGAGGGGAGAGGGGATTGAAGGGAGGGGAGAGGATTGAGAGAAAAAGAGGAATCAAGATATACCATGTACAGGTACAAATTCCCTTTGATGAATGTGATTGTTATATATATTTAAATTGCACCAATAAAATTAATTTTAAAAATTATCAGTTTCTGGGAGGTATAGTGGTACCTCGGTTCATGAACTTAAATGGTTCCACAATTCTGGAAAAGATGGCCACCATCGTGTTCGTGTGGGAAAGCTGGCCGTGGTCATGCTCCTCACCCTATGCAAAGTTCGCAAACAAAGACAAAATTTTGCCAAATGCTTCTGTTCGCAAACCAAACTGTTGACAAACAAAACCATCTGTGAACCAAGGCACCACTGTAAATAGCTATACATCCTTTTGTAGTACATGCAAACTACATAAAAGTGCTTGCATATTTTCCCCACTTAATATGTTTTAGAGGTCTTTCCATATTGTGCAAAGTTTCCCTTTTTTTCTGACCATGTGATTTCCTATTTTGTAGATGGATTGTAATTTTGTCAACTAGTCCTCTATTGCTGGGCTTTTGTTTCCAAATATTTGTGTCTGTAAAAATGATGCAGTGGCTTAAGATAGGCAGTTCCCTGTGTTTTCTGACATAGCTGCAAGCTAAATCCTAGAAGTGGCAAAGCTGTCTCAAAGCCAGCATGCCTTCTAATTTAGATAAATATTGCCAAATTGCCCTCAATCGAGGGTGAATCAGTGTATACTCATATCACCAATTTATGAAAGCTTTTTCTCCCACCCAAACCCACTGTCATCATACTTTCTGATTTTCATCAGTCTGGTCAATGAAAAAGGTCCTTCCAACATCACTGTATTAAGGAGACTTTGTTTTATTTAACAGGAAAAATAAAACAAAAGGAGAAGAAAACCCTTACTCTTCTGTGGACATTGGTAAAGGAGAAAATAATACAGGATTCCAAAACAGTGAGGATATTCAGACTTCATTTTAGAAAAAATCCATCTTTTTCCTCCTGAGGTGATTGTTTTATAAGTAAATGTTAATTTCACGGTATAGAAAATATATGATTATAAAGATGTCATTAAATTATCAAAACTATGGCTGTGCTCAGGAAATGTTGGCCAAAGACCATATGACTGAGGAATGGGTATCTTTACCGATGTTGCTTTCAGTATTTATTTCTACCTCAGGACTTGACTTCTCTTCTGCTTCCTCATGTCATGTTAGAATAAAATAGAGTAAGTATGTCTTTGGCCTCCCAGGCTGTCCGGGGATAGTGGAAATGCCAATGTCTACCGAGTAACTAGAGTTGGAAAGCAAAAAGGATATGTCACTATGTCACAGCAGCAAGTGCTGGACCTTGTGTAAAATCAGTGCTGGTAAACTGGTGGGGCTGCAGGGACTGAGATGGGACCCACTGTTTACTTTTACATAATACAAGTGAGAAGGATGAAGGATAACATGCTTTATTTACATCAACTCGATTCAAGCTCTACAGTAATTTGCCCACAGTGATGTTTGAACAGACAGTGCCTTCTTCAGGGTGGCAGGGCTAGAGAAAAAGCAGGAGAATCCAGAGTATGGACAGGGGACACTGACTTTTCACTTTTGAACTGCTTGGCCGACGTCTCCCTGACAACACAGCACTAGCACAAGTGCCTCCATGACCCCCAGAACATGCCTCAAACTCGCTTTCGTAATTCTCAAACTGCACAGTGATTGGAAATTGCAACTGAATGTTCCCCCTCTGAAGTGAGCACCTGGTCTCTTAAATATTTTCAGTGTCTGAGTAGTGCTGAGCACAAAGCATAAACTCAATAAATACTTATTAGATGTATACGCTCCTGTGGTCTTCTGCATATCTATATACCGCCTTCTGTCCATTCTGTCTTCTCTTCACTTCCATAGAGGAAACTGTCACCTATCTAGGACCTTTGACCTCCAGATGACTTAGAATATATCCTAAATTCTCAAATTGTTTTATTGGACAAAGCAGTTGTAAAATCAGTTTAAAAAAGAATTATGTTCTGAGTGTATACATTGCTAAGTTAGGAACCAAACCTAGTTCCCTAGAACTGCTTTTATAGTTCTCAGAGTACTTAGCCCAGTTCTAAGCACAGCATCTACTATATACCTGGAGACTGATTAAAACTAGCCTAAAAAGATTAACATATCCAAGCTTTACCCATTGAATCATATTATATTTGTGGCCAGAATAATGGCCACAATGCTGACTTGGCACTTAATAAATTCAATGTGATAATGGCAATAGTCGATCGATTAGCCAGGTCTGGGGAGAACGACTTCCAGAATCCCCTGTAAAGTAGCCTCAAGATAATCAAATGGGGCTAGGTCATTTGAGGCTCTTCAGCATCTTTTAATTTTATCTGATATTCAGGTAGCAATGATAGAGTTTTTTGTGTTTGCCTGAGATCCATGCCCCTCCACTCAAGCTTCCTTAATACTATCTGTCTCACCATCTTGCCATTTATTGGTCCCATAGCTCGGAGCAGAATACAGTAGCATCTTCTCCTTATTTGCATTGTTTCATTGACAACAAAGCCCAGCTGTAACACAGAAATTAGGAAAACCTGCTCATTTCCCTGACTTAATCATGTGGGTTTTTTTTTTAAAAAAAAAAACCAGTGAAGTCCTGCTTTTGCCTACCGGGTAAGGCTTGTGGTCCTTCACTAATGCAACAGCATCCTCTGAGAGGAGGGAGGTTCTACAAAGAAGGTGAAGGTGGGAGTTGACAAACTATGATCCATGGGCCAAATCTTGATCATTACCTGTTTTTATATAACATGTGAGTTAACAATGATTTTCGTAATTTTTAATGGCTGGGGAGGGAACATAGAATAATATTGTAGGACATATGAAAATGATATGAAATTCAAATTTCACTGCCTATAAGTTTTACTGGAACCCAACCACACCCATTCATTTTCATATTGTCTAGGGCTACTTTCCTGCTGCAAAGTACAGCTGAGTGGTTGACAGAAATGGTATGGCCCACAGAGTCTTTTACGGGGTGACTTTGCTGACCCCTGGGCTATAAGGAAGCAAGAGCAAAATGAAGTTAGAGATGGGAAAGACTCATGTGGAGCTCAGAGACCTGAGGAACATTTGTTTATGAAATCTGAAGCTATTCTCTGAGTGTTTCCTTCCTGAGGATTTAACTCTTTTTACGGGGTTGAGTTGATGCGATTAGGCTAAAAAGAGCAGGTGCTGCTTTTTTCTTCCGTGATGTCCCTCAATGAATCATTCTCCCTCATTTGAGATCCACCCCTCCCCCATTTAGCTAAAGACAGGGCCTTTGGTCCAATCTCTCCTCCTTCTACACCCACTTCCAAGTTTATTATGTTGAAATGTTTCTCTTAATTAACTCGTCTATATGATATGAATTTTGACTTTTTCCTGCTTGACTTTTGGATTTCACTTAGAAAATGGTTTATCTGAAGTTGCTCTTTGACTTGTCCTTTGGGAAAGATTCTTATCACAAGCCTGCCTTTTTCTTCACTCCTCAGAAAGTATAATTTGACTCTTGGTTTAGAATTATAACAGTAAATGTACATGTCACCATAGAGCACAGTTGAAACACATTTACAAGTCATTATTCATGTTTTAAAGTAGTACATTCTTCCTTATTTGGCTTCTCCTGGCATCACTGGGCTTATTTTCTGATAAACCTCTCATAGCATCTTAAATTTTTGCTTGACTTAATTTTTGGAGCCAGGCTTCTAAACAAGGCTTTGCCTTCTCTTTTTTTGGTACTGGGGATCAAATTCGGGTCCTTATGCTTGCAAGGCAGGAGCCGGAACCACTGAGCTAAATCCCCGGCCCTTTGGCTTCTTTTCATAGCAAATAATTCTATATTATTTGAATTTTTGCAATAAGCATGTATTACGTTTGTTATAAAGCAGATTATTTTCAAAGATCAAATATACAAACATAAGGTGAAGAAAGGAACCGGTAGAAGAGGGAGATCAGAAAGAAAGATCAGCAGTGTGAGGTACAGCTTCTTGTTGGATGACTCCTGAGAGAGCAGCAGGCCTGATGTCCCACCTGACTGGGGGCCCATTAGGAAGGAAGATTTGTGTCACTTGGACCTTCTTTTCCCTTTGGGAGGAAAGAACCTGGTACTTGGGAAATACTAAACAAATCAATGCATGAATATACAAATGCCCTAGTGATTATTTTCCAAGTTACATTTCATTGTGCATGGAGGTTCATGTATCTCTGTTGAAAGTAGAGGACTGTTATCGAGTGCTAATTCTCTTTGAAATGAAAATATCACTAATTAAGTGTCAGGCAACAAATAAAATTTCAGCTAGCTGATAGGGGAGGGAGTGAGTGGGACAAGAAAGAGTATGACTGTCTCTTTGGGAGGTCATTAACCTATATCTGAAAAGTAGCAGTAGGACTTAGTTGGGGCATCATGTCATTATAACAGTGCCCTCCACATAAACTTTCCCTCTCCCTTCTTGACATTATAAGAGAGACAAGGACATTTTCTAAGAGATAATACCGGTGGGATCAAAATCAGGCCTTGGAGGAGGGCATTTCCCAGGAGCAGTTTAAAGTTAAAATTCCTTTTATAATAGCCACGAGAAGCTAAATTAGTACTTCTATATTTTTAAGGTGGAAGACTGAAACAGAAACTGTAGCTGTCAAATGAGCCAGAAGCCCCCGGGCCCCAAACTCAAGAATTTAAATGATTGGAAAGAAACACTGTCTTCAATCCTAAAAATAAGACCGTGGTTTCACTGAGTTGTGACTGATAATGATTAAGGTGAGGGTTAAGGAAAAAGGCATCAAAATTGTATGTTAGCATTTTTTGGGTAATAAACCCATCAGATCTTTTATTATTATAATAATTATTAACACGTATTGATTGTTTAAATTCATAGGTTCCACTACTTATCAGACCTTAACCATGGCTATGTTACTTACACCTGTGTCATCACAAATGCTTTTATTTTACGCTGATATTCCTCTTACAGTGCTTGTGTTGAGCTATATAGGCCAGAGTACTTTGTATTCAACAAAAAGGGACTGTTTCAGTCTCATGCAGGTACCTGGGAACATAGACATCTGAGAAAATGATTAAATAACTTAAGACTGTCCAACTTTACCAAATCAAGATTGCCAGAAGTCTAGCGGAGAAGCTGATAGATTCGTGAAATTGCTGACTCAAAGTCTTCATGATTTTATTGTGTTTTCCAAGAAGAGAAGTTAAATAAATGAGCTAACTTTGATGTCTTGCATCCCCATTTGTTTAATAGTTTTTAAATCGCATACTATTTTTCTTGACTATTTATGTGTGGCATATTTAATATATTGTGTAATAATATTATTTAACTTTAATATTATAATTGTATGCATGCTGACATAAAGAGCCATTGTTCTAATCGGAATATCAGATGAGAATTGTGCCATTTGGATTGAATTATGGACCATATAACACATAATGAGGTGTTCTAGGACAGTGTAGAATGCCTGCATCAGCGAGATCTGGGAGCTGTGAAAACTACAAACTCAAAGGCTACACTCAAGGGCTGGAGATTTAGCTCAGTGGCAGCGCACCTGCCTGGCAAGTGCAAGGTTCTGAGTTCGATCACAGTACAAAAAAATAAATGGCTGCACTCAGACCTGCTCTATCAGAATCTCTGAGTATTGTTTTCTTGGAATCTGTGCTTTGCATGATTCACATGTATTTGAAAGATTGAGACCACTGAAATATGAAGGCAAAAGTCCACATTTCTGTTTTTGATGATATATTTAATTATCAGGATAGTAAGAATAGGAAAAAAAAAAAAAAAGAATGAGTATCCAGCAAGGAATTTTCAGTTCTGCTCAAGCCTTACACATAATATACACCCACTCTCTACTGCAATATGGATCCAGTGAACTGGTGAGGACTGGTTAGCCATGCGGTAAGCCCGCCCTCACCCAGGCCTGCATTCAGTAGACTGGTGAGGACTGGTTAGCCACACAGTGAGCCTGCCCTCGCCCCAGCCTGCACACAGCAGACCGGTGAGGACCAGTCAGCTGCATGGATGCCTCTATATTGCAATGTGAAAACATACTTCTGCTATAGGCTGGGAAGTGTTATATTAAAAGCAGCATAAATAAAATTACCAATTTCACCTAAATATCATGGAAATTTTTGTTTTCTACCTTCATTTCTAGATAATATAACAGGCACACACAGAACTCTTAAGAGCTAGCTAACTTACATTATGCCTGGCTACTTCCCTTAAAAAGAATGAAAATGTTGGCCAGTGTATATATTCGTTCTCGTCAGCACCCCTAATTTCTTCTTCAAGGTTTGTCTTTTTCCCGAAGCGGTTCAATGGAAGATAGGAGTTGCTGGAATGTAGGCCGCTTTTCTGGAAGCTAAATAAAAGAAAAATCCAATGTTTTAGATGATGAAATTTATGATCAAAAAGAAAAAAATGTAAACTATTTATGCTGTGGTTCTGAAGGTAATAATTTTGAAAATGTGGGGACACTGCAGACATTTGTGCTATAGTCAGAAACAATGCTTTACTCACTGCTCTTCACAGCACACTGAAGGTATTAACAGTGCAGTCAGAAAGTGAGAATAATTAGACCCTAAGGACTGGAGCAGAAAAAGCAAAACTATTTTTATTTTCACAGGACACAATTTATGCCTGGAAAACCCAAGATAATCAATGGTAGAACCAACCCAAACAAAAAAGGAATTCACCGGAAGAGCAGGACATAAAATTAACATGCAAATCAATAGCTTTCACATATATCTACAATGACCAATTAGAAGATATCATGGAAGAGAAAAGTCCATTTATAATAGCAACAGCATAAAAATAAAATACTATAAAACTATACTTCCTAAAAATGAGGAAAACTTTAAAAAAAACTGCTGAAAAATACAAATGCACTTTTATGTATTTTTAAAAAAGCATCTTTTGTTCTAGAATAAGATATTAGCATCATAAATATCAAATTTCTCAAGTTAAAAGCTAAATACAGTCTCCTCAAAAATTAAATGAGTTTGTTTCAAGCTAAACAAATTGATCCTTTAGTTCATAATTTTTTTTTTTGGTACTGGGGATCAAACTTGGGTCCTTATGCTTGCAAGGCAGGCGCCAGAACCACTGAGCTAAATCCCCAGCCCTAGTTCATAGATTCTTTTTAAAAAATATGCAAAGTGGTTAGGAAACTATAAAGAAAGATTAGTAATGGGGAAGGGGTGTTAGGGTACATAATATTATAAGGCCTGTATATAACTATAAGGTCTATCTATATTATAAGGCCTCTATATAATTAAAACATGTGGCCCTAGCACATGGATAGAGAGACTGAAGAACAGAAGAGAAACTCCTAAAATAAACTCAAATACATATGGAAATTTGGAATAATATTAGGGTGGCATTTCACTGGGGATGAGATGGTCTTTCAGTAAACAGTGCTTCCAACAACTGGATAAACATCTAAAAGAATACATTTGATGCCATACTTTATACTGTACACCCCAACAAACACAAACTAGATCAGAGACTTGAATAGAGAACAATGAAACCATAAAAGTGAAAAGAAAAATTGAGGAGAACTCCATTATAAATTGGGTGTGGGAAAACCTAGGTAACTATGACTTAATTTTCAGAAGCAGTAAAAGCAAAAGCAAGTATATTCAGATGTGTGTGTGTGTGTGTGTGTGTGTGTGTGTGTGTGTGTGTTTCTACTGGGGATCAAACTTGGGTCCTTGCGCTTGCGAGGCAGGCAGCGGAACCACTGAGCTAAATCCCCAGCCCTATTCAGGTATATTTTTATTTTATCTTTATGGCCAAAACAAAAACTACCATCAGCCAAATTAGAATATAAGTGATAATATGGGAGAAAATATTGGAAAATACTGACAATTGATAACTATAATAAATAAAATCTTAAGATTCTTAATTTATAAAGAGAAGTTAAAAACTTGATAAGAAAAAAGGCAGTGATGGTTCTAAGAAAGAAACACAAATGACCCTTAAAATATGGAAAGAGGAGCAATTTCACTCATAAGGAAGAGAAACATATTAAAGTTGAAATAAATTCCCATTTTAATCTAACGGACTAGCAAAAATTCAAAAGTCAACAATGTGCTCCATTGGTGAGGAAAACATAGCTACCTACATAGCTAGTGGCCAATACCCAAGGGAGCAATCAGATGCTACATTTTCTGTAAGAAAGAGGAACAAGAACACACACACACACACACACACACACACACACATGTATATATGCTCAAAGAAATTCCAGAAGGATAAATGAGAATCTAATGAAAATTTTCAATATTCTTTTAAACTTTTTTGTGGATTTGAAAAACTGTCAAGTGAAATATAAAAATGCAGGAAAAGCCAAAAATCTACAAACTCTACTGCAGGATCTTCACCTGGGTATTGTCTCCATGCAAACCCCTCCTCAAGGATTCCGCCACAACTCACACAGTTGTACGGATTGAGTGTGGGAAGCAGGTGGTTCCTCCCCATTTAGGGTCCCTGTCTATCTGATGGTGAAGTTATGTTCCCAGGAGCCAGAGTAAGGGATGCCAGGGAGGAACCTGGCTTCAACTGAAAAAAACAAAACAAAACAAAACAAAAACAAAAACCCAAACCCTGTCTGCTTTTCTTCCTCTGACAGGCAGCCTCGTTGGGTCAGCCTGGTCGTGGGCAGCGATGGAAGTAAAACTCTATTCAGACCAAGTCTGACCCTCTAGCACTGCCTGGGCCTCTTAGACACTGTTTTGGTGTAGAAAAGGTGGGGAAACTTAATTTATATACTATTCCAAATCCCACAAGGTAGGAAATTACAAAGTGCCCTCCTTTCAGGCAACCATTTAAGGCCACATGATAAATATTGTTACTGACACAGCCAGCGACTCTGGCAAAGAGACTATAGGCTCCTATATAAGAGATTAGGACCTATTTAAGTTGTATGCATCAGTTTATCCCTAGCTCCAAGCGTAGTGTTTGGTATACGAATGGTTTGTAGTCATATACGTATATACATACAATAATAACACACCAAGCCCAAAACACTGTGTATTGGTACTGCTTTAAGAACTCAATAGTATTAATTTGTCCAGTCCATACAGTAATCCTATACAAGGTCATACAGCTAGTAAATGGTCAAAGCAAGTTTCAGCCCAGATATTTTGTGTCCGGAATCTGTGTGTATCATTACTGCACCAACTTGCCTGTCACTAATGAATGAATGTAGCATTAGTTCATTTGTAATGAGGAAATACGTATTGGTTAAGATCTATGAGCTCTTAATGTTCTGAAAAGTCTTCCTTTATCATGTCACTGCTCAAAAGTTGCTAATGGTTCCTCACTGCCTATGAAAAGCAAAGCTCACATTCTTCTTGTATTCACCTTGCAGAATCTGGACCTAACTTACTTTCAGCCGTTCCAACAGTGGCTGCAGCCAAGAACGCTGTGCTGCTTCCTGGCTTCCACGGACCTTTGCTTATGCTTTCTCACTTGGACACCCTTTGCCAAGGTCTCAGCTCAGTTACCAGTGCATTCAGGATGCTGCTCTCTCTCCTCTGGGCTCTTCTATTTGTCGATCTTTTTAATTTGGATGCATCATTATAAACTGCCTGGTATTTTCAATTACATTGTGTGTGTGCCTATGCAAGCACGTGCACATGTGTGTATGTGTAAAGACTTCAGATTCAGTGAGGTAAAGAGTGGAACCTCATACTTCCTTGTCATCTTTCACAAATTCTATGAGTATAGTAGATTCTTTGCAAATTAATCCCCTGCAACTTTAGCTCCACGTCTTCCCCGTAAGATTCCCATTATCTTCTAGGGAAGGGGATGCTTGTGTTCAGTGCTTGGGAGGCAGACAGAAAGATGATGGGATGGTGTCTGCTGTGTGCTCTCTCCCTGTGGTCCCATGCCCTCTGTTACACATTTTCTGCTTGAGGAGAGACTCCATAGCCTTGCGCTTGAGAACAGGGACTCTGGCACTAAGCCAGCCTGCTTCTTACAAGCTATGTGATCTTGGGCAGGTCACTTAAGCTCTCTGGGCCTTTATTTCTTCTCCTGTTAGTTTTAGTGATGATAGCACCTGGCTCATAGTGTGGTTCCAGATGAATAAACGAGG